ACAAGTGGAGAGTAGCAGTAAGCTTGTCTCTGATACCTGTTAGGTGCTGGGGGCACAGTGATGGGATGGATCTGGGCCCGCGGGGGAGACATGGTGGGTTGTGCCTTTCTGCTCTGGGGCCATCCTGTGCTCTGTAGCACGTTAAGCTGCATCTTTGCCCACGAGACTCCAGAAGCACATCCCCCAGGTGTGAGAAGTGGCTCTGGACACTGTCCCATGTCCTCTGGGTGTGGCAGCATCCCAGTTGATGGCCGTGACTTGGAAGTGTAGACTAGGGACAGGGAAGATGAGTGTGATGGGAGAGGCCTGCATGGGATTTGGTGGTCAGGAGGCAGCTGGTGAGAGGGGTTGCCTGCTGCAGGCCCCGGCACAGGCACCAAGTGGGCGGACAGCCTGTGCAGGCGCAAGGCACAGGTGCGTGGAGAGACGGAAGCCGGGGGTCCAATTTAGCTTGTGGGAGGCAAGTGGCAGAGTCGGCAGGGCCCACAGAGTGCCTGGAGTCCAGCCACCGGGGGTCATCCCCCCCTGCCTTTCTTATGACAGACTCGAGTCCAGCTCCCTCAAACTAGGCTCCTCCTACCCTATTTTGAATTTGAGTCATTCTCTGGACTCACAATCCTCCCTGTGGCCCTGACTGAGCTGTTAGGGACTTGACCCTTCGCTGGTGAGCTGGCTTGGCCAGGAGTTGCTGGGCCAGGCTATTCTGCAGCCAGGGGGTCTCCTGCACCTGGTGGGATATGAGCGGCCCTGCCCTATCCCTAAGCCATGGCATCCAGCGGAGCCTCCAGCTGTGTGGTGTGTGAGCATCACACCACTGAGCACCACTGCCCAAGCCAACGCGGTCCCAGCATTCAGGCCCCGAGATGGCCCCTTTGGGGAGGTCTCCTCTTCTTCACAGGCTGGAGGCCTGAAAGGGGGAGCCTTGCACCCACCTCCTCTGGGGCTGCCCCTGGATCCCATACCATCTGGCCTGAAAAGTTTCCTCTCTGGGCATGAGGACCAGGCTCCAGAGGCTGGCCACGGTGGGTGGCCCAGGGTCCTTTGGTGGGAGAAGCCTGGGCAGTGGCTGTTCCCCAGTGGATCCAGGAGTGCTGGGATATAGTACGGACTGGTACCATGGCCACAGCACAGCTGGTTTGTCAGCACTTAGCCCAGACATCCCACTGTGGTCCTTGACCCCAGCCTCCCTGTCCCCAGGCTGCTCCTGCAGGCAGGCTACGACCCAGAGCTCCGAGATGGGGATGGCTGGACTCCTCTGCATGCAGCGGCCCACTGGGGCGTGGAGGACGCCTGCCGCCTGCTGGCCGAGCACGGTGGCGGCATGGACTCGCTGACCCATGCGGTGAGGCCAGTGCCCAGGCGGTGGCAGGTGGGGTGGGAGAGAGGTGCCTGCCCTTCATTTGTCATCTGTCCCTCTCCTCCCCCCACCCAGGGGCAGCGTCCCTGTGACCTGGCTGATGAGGAAGTGCTGAGCCTGCTGGAGGAGCTGGCCCGGAAACAGGAGGACGTGAGTCTCAGGCCAGGTCCCTCCTTTCCCAGCAGCTCCAGGGAGGCGGCTGGCGAGGACTGCCCCGTGCCCTGACACTCTGCCACAGAGTGCTCTTCCTGCCTGGTGACCCAGCTCCAGCAGAGGACTGTGAATGGGGCACAGCTGCAGCTAGAGGAGGGGGGTGAGGGGCACAGTGCTTCCTGCTACCTAGTGGCAGGCAGAGGGATGCTGTGGGGGCTGTAGGCCTTGCTCAGGGCCAGCTCTGAGGCCCATCACCCCAATTGTCCCCAGCCAGCCCTGGGTGGGCCTCATTGCTGGGAAACAGTGTAGAGGAGGCGTGGGCCACTGTGGGATGCCAGATGGCCTGGGCACGGGCCTGGGGTGCTGGGGAGCACTTTCTGGAGGACAGTCCCTGGAGCACTCAGCACTTCCCCTGGGTGAAGGTGCAGAGGAGGACAATAGCAGCCTGGGATGCTCTGTCCTCTGCTCACCGGGGCTGTCCCTGGGGCAAGCCCTGAGCTGGGGGGCCAGGACTACCTATCAGTCCTGGGGGCAGCAAGGGTTGGGCTAGTGTCCTGGTGTGTGAGGACAGGGAGAAGGGTTGAGCAGGTGTCCCTGGGAGCCAGAAAGTCCCCTTTCTGGAGACTGGAGGCTAATCCTGGGGTGGGTGCACGTGAGGACAGGTGTCAGCACGTGCCTGTGGCAGCTCTGGTCTGCTGGACCAGGGCACCTCCTCTTCAGGTGCTGCTTGGCTAGGTGTAGGCCACTTGAGTAAATCACAGATCCTCCACTGCCCAAGAAACAGCTCTCTGTGGTTGGTGCACCCTGCATGAGATGCCCCTGGCACCACTGGGACCACAGCTCTGTGGTGGCCCTCGGGTTGGGAGGTGCGGCACAGGGCCTGCCAGCACCATCTCCCAGCAGTCTCCTTCCCTCCTTGCAGCTTCGGAACCAAAAGGAGGCATCTCAGAGCAGGGGCCAAGAGCCCCAGGTGCCCTCCAGCACCAAGCACAGGAGGTAGGCAGAGGAGCCCCAGGGGAGGACGGCCCCCAGGGGAGGACAGCCCCCAGGGTGTGGTCATCCACACCTTCTCCTATCCCCAGGAGCTCTGTGTGTCGCCTGAGCAGCCGTGAGAAGATCTCCCTCCAGGATCTGTCCAAGGAGCGCAGGCCCAGTGGGGCAGGGGGGCCTCCCATCCGGGACGAGGATGAGGGAGATGAAGGCCTCACAGGTGGGGCCATAGTCTAGACCCCTGGGCCTGATGGAGGAGGCTGGGCCTGGACCCCTGGGTCTGAGGGAGGAG